CCATGGACGAAGTTCGGGATTACCGAGGACATGTTCAAGTTGCGACAGAAATGGGGATGTTGTTTGTGGTGCAATAGCACCAAGCACATCACCAGTGCATGCCTCGACAAGGACAAAGAAAATGTCAAGCGTCCTGGCTCGGGAAACTGAGCACCGCGGGAAGTGCAGCGACAACACTTCCCAGTCCGCCGGAGTTGGCTACCTTGCTAGCAGCCTCTCTCACATCCGGGGACACCGCGGCAGTCGCAAGTTYTCGCGTTGAGTACGARAACTATGYTGTCGAGCTGGTCCCACCGWTGAACCAGCCTSTCCACGTGCAAGATTCAAGCGTATGCGCGGCAGTTCCGCCGTCGGACAATGAACCGGTGGCTTCGCCAGCCATCTTATCGGAGGATCTGTCAACTTGGGCGAGACTTGAGGATCTCGACCCGTTGACGGTTGAGGACTTCCAATGGTTGCCTCTGCCCTCCACCGGTTCTTTGCCAACTCCGCATTGCAATGCCTTAATGGCACATCTACGCGAATACTTGCACGCTGCAATACCACCTCCGTCGACGGACGGCGGAGTAGCGGTTGATGACCTTTGCAATTTTCTTGCGAAGATCGACCACGAGTACGCAACGCAACGGTACGTCGACACCGACGCACCGCTCCTCTACATACGCATTCAGATCGGAAAGGCGACCTGCAGTGCCTTGATCGATTGTGGAGCGACTCGCAACTACATCAGCCAAGACTTCATGGCACGCGCCGGGCTAGGCCCGCGCGTTCGAAGGAAAAGCCAGCCTACGCACGTCACGTTGGCCGATGGTCACACGYAAAAGTCAATCGACCGATGCRTTGACTCGGTGCCCGTGTACTTCGCCCCGCYAGCAAGCGAGGCCGTGTCCTTCGACATATTGGACACCAAGTTCGATATGATCCTAGGCATGTCGTGGCTGCAAAGCGAAGACCATCCGGTGAACTTCCATCGCCGCACCGTTCACGTTCGTGATCGGCATGGCGAACTAGTCCCGTGTACGATGCCGCTTCCTCATCCTTTGATTGGTTGTCACGTGGTATCCGCGCCGAGCATTCGCCAATCCATCCGGCGAAACGACATCGAGGAGATGGGCATATGTTTTCTTCACGCCCTCCCACCCGGTGATCAGCCCAAGACGGATACGTCAGACCCACGCATCATTGAGCTGTTGGACAGCTATGGGGATGTCTTTCAAGCTCCCGCCGGAGTCATACCGGATCGGCCCATACGTCACGGGATCACTCTCGAGGACGACGTCGTACCTCCGCCCCGATGTATCTACCGCATGAGCGAAGAGGAACTTCAAGTGCTTCGAGCACAACTAGACGACCTCTTGGCCAAGGGCTGGATTCGCCCTAGCTGCTCGCCATACGGTGCTCCCGTTCTCTTTGTCTGGAAGAAGAACAAGGACCTTCGGTTGTGCATCGACTATCGTAAACTCAACGCACAAACGATCAAGAACGCCGGCCCTCTCCCTCGGATCGATGATCTTCTCGAGCGACTCGGCGGCGCCAAGTACTTCTCCAGCCTAGACCTCAAGTCCGGTTATCACCAGATCGAGATTCAGCCAAGAGCTCGGTACAAGACCGCATTCAAGACGCGGTATAGGCACTTTGAGGGGATCGTCATGCCTTTCGGTCTCACCAATGCCCCGGCTACTTTCCAAGCGACTATGACGACGGAATTCCGCGACTTGCTCGACCGCTCCGTTCTCATTTACCTCGATGACATCTTGGTTTATAGTCGGTCGCTGGACGAGCATCTCGAGCACCTTCGCGCCGTATTGGAGCGGCTTCGTATCGCCAAGTACAAGGCAAACCGCGACAAGTGCGAGTTTGCCCAGCAAGAGCTGGAGTACTTGGGCCATTACGTCACGCCACAAGGCATTCGTCCGCTCGCGGACAAGTTACAAGCTATTCAAGATTGGTCGGACCTCAAGTGTACTACCGACGTCCGCTCCTTTCTCGGCTTGGCATCGTGCTACATGCGCTTCGTCAAAGGATTTCAACGCATCGCTGCACCATTGTCACGACTTCAGTCCCCCTTGGTGCCTTTCGAGTTCAGCGACGAGGCCCGGCATGCGTTTCACACGCTGAAGACGGCTTTGCTTCAAGCTCCCGTCCTAAGCATCTATGAACCGACGTTGCCTACCAAAGTGACTACGGACGCTTCCGGTTACGGCATTGGCGCGGTTTTGAAACAGCATGACGGCACAGACTGGCATCCGGTTGAGTATTTCAGCCAAAAGGTGTCGCCCATCAACACTCTTGATGATGCGAGGAAGAAGGAACTCCTAGCTTTTGTCTCCGAACTTAAGCGTTGACGTCACTTTCTCCTCGAGCGTCGGCGATTCACGTGGGCAACGGACAACAATCCGTTGACATATTACAAGACGCAAGACACGGTGAGCAGCACGATCGGTCGGTGGATGTATTTCATTGACCAGTTCGACTTCACCTCCAAGCACATTCCGGGCTCCTCGAACAAGGCGGCGGATGCTCTCTCGCGAAGACCCGATCTTTGCGCCATGGTACACTCCACGTTCGGCCTCGACGAGGACCTCCAACAAACATTTCGTAAACGGCTACAAGTCGGATTCGGGATTCTCCACACTCTACGCGGACTTATCATCGGACGAACCGTCGGCAAGCAACTATCGCATCACCGACGGCTACTTGCTCCTCCATACGCAAGGCAAGGACTTGTTGTGTGTTCCCCAAGACCGCATCTTGCGCACTCGCCTCCTTGGCGAATACCATGATTCGCGGCTGGCAGGACACCTTGGCGTCGCACGCACACTAGCACGACTCCGCCAGCGTTTTCACTGGCCGGACATCATCAACGACGTCAACCGGTACATTCAGTCATGTGCAGTTTGCCACCGGAATAAAGGGCGCCATCAGCTCCCTTACGGCGAACTGAAACCATTGCCGATACCTCGGGCACCAGGTCTCTCCATTGCTATGGATGTGACCGGTCCTTTCCCTCGCGATCGCCTTGGTCATGATGGTATTCTCACGGTCGTTGACCGTTTGAGCAAGTACGCTCGATTTCTTCCATGCAAGTATCATGCGATGGCTCCCGAGCTCGCACGACTTTTGCATACCGGCTGGTTTTGCAGCCACGGCGTTCTGGAAGACATCGTCAGCGACCGCGACACTCGTTTCATGTCGGCCTTTTGGACGGCACTCATGGTGGAATCCGGCACCAGCATGAAACCGAGCTCCGCACGGCATCCTCAAACGGATGGGCAAACGGAACGTGCGCACCAGACTGCGCAGATGATGCTCCGCACACTCATCCGCCCGGATCAAAAGGACTGGGTTGACCGCCTTCCCGACATCGAGTTCGCCTCCAACACTTCGGTGCACCCGGCGATTGGCGTGACTCCATTCGAGTTGCACCACGGTGGACTGAAAGGACGTATCTTCGCAGACATTTTGCTTCCACGGGCTGCCGATATAGACGGCGCTTGCTCCCCCGCTTCTACACGGAAGTACGGGGAACTGCTGGCCAAAGCCCGAGCTAACATGCAAAAGGCTCAGGTCCGTATGCAGCAGCAAGCGAATCGGCATCGCATCCCATGTCCAATTCGCGCCGGTGACCTAGTTCGGGTCACCTCCGAGGAATTTGCGCTCGAGCAGGACGTCTCGCGCAAGCTCCTCCCGAAGTGGTTTGGACCATGGATGGTCACTTCAGCAGCTGGCGACGACCCCGCGGGTCCATCATTCATCATTGAGATTCCCCCGCATTTGACAGTACACCCGGTTTTTCACGCTTCAAAGCTGGCGGTTTACACTTCAGCCTCCGCAGCGGACTTCCCGGGCAGACGGTCACAGGACCCTCCTTCAATGGATGGCCATCAGGAGGTCGACCGGGTTCTCACGCATCGCAAGCATGGCAACAAGCCAATGCAGTACAAAGTTACACTCAAGCAATGCGATCCGAATGACACACGCTGGATCTCAAGAGCTGATCTGAAGGCATCAGCACCCCTCATCTTCGMGCATTATGAAAAACAGCGACTTGCTAAGGAAGCTGCCCAACCTGCCCGCCCTGTATGGACATCGGACAGACAGCTTCGCCCTCACAGTTAGCTCGGTCCTCCAAGGGGGGGAGTGTGTGGCATACTGAGCCACTCGGGCCCCAGTTAGGGCCCGGTTCCAAGACAGGCAGGGTTAGCCTAGGGGACACCGGTTCAGATGAGGCTAAAAAGGGCCTGGACCACGGCGGTTCAGGCAGGYCCAGGCCGAACGGCCACAAGGCCGGTACCGGTCCAGCCTAGGACCTACCGGCAGCGGTTCAGAGGCTGCCGTAGTTTAGGCGCCAAACCAGTTTCGAAACTGGACCGTTGATCTAGATCAACGGTCCAGGCCAGTAGGTACCGGTAGGCAAGAGGCCGGCCCAGCACTACAAAAGGCTGGGTACCAGCCTCAGTGGGAAGGTTAGTATGTACGAGTTAGTCTGGAGGATTAGCGGAGCAGCCAAGCGTTAAGCAGATTAGCGCAGCACTGCAGCAGCGAGAGCGCCAGGAGACAGCGGGCGCAGCGGCAAGAGGAACAGCACGGCGGCCCAGCCGCGCCATAGCTACCAGCAGGTACCGGGAGGAAGGCTCTGCCTCCTCTCCCTCTGTTCCATCTGCCTCGGCTCTCTCTCTCTCTCTCTCTCTCTCTCTCTCTCTCTCTCTCTCTCTCTCTCTCCCTACCCTCTCGGTCTAAGTCTACTTCTCCTACAGGACTACTACTACAGTAATGGAGATGGTTACGATTTCTGATGACATCTGAGACAGCGACATTGAGAGTACGAGTTGAGGACTATTTCGGGATCTGATTTCCATCTCTCGTTCGGAGGTGTACTTGACATTGTGAGATCGACATCTGGGAGATTGTGAGACTTGGTATTCACGACATTTCGGATTTTCGTCACTTCTGACAGTTCAAGTTACTATCTTTGGAAACATTGAGTTGACATCATCTCCCCTCTCCTCCTCCTTCGCCCGATGAATGTATGAGAGTTGTTCGATTGCAGTCCGAGTCAGGTCTGAGTCAATCCAAAGGTATCATGCCCTTCCGCTGTATTTGTATCAACTCTGTATTATCTGGTCGGTTCTGGGAATATGCGCCATACTTATGACTGTGTTTCACAAGTATGCAACAGCATGGCTCACGCAGGAATAAATGAATGGCTGGGTGCTGCCTCTTGATTTATACTTCTGTAACTCGCTGGTCTGCCCTTTTCCATCGGCCCATGGTGCACACAGTCCTTCATGGTACTTGCTGGACTGGACTGGGACTGACTGGACTGGTACCGCTGACTGCATGGGTTTGCACCGCAGACTCACTGCAGTCGCACTGCCAACATACTGAGGTTGGCTCCACCACTTGCCCACTTGCCTCTACCTAAACCTGAGCCTACTCCGAAAGGCCACTTTCGGGACCTTCCGAAAGTCTGTGGACTTGGCCTTTCAGGTACTGTCGCAGCTACGACCTTGACCTTTCAGGACTGTAGCAGCTACGACCTTTACCTTTCAGATACCTATAGCTACGACCTCTACAGAACTGGGACTCCTACTTCACAGATCTACAGATCGAACCCCTACCACTACACAGACCTACGACAGACAAACAACAACTGACAAAACGCAGGTCACGGGTTCAAACACTCAGAGGTCAACTCGATACTGTACACAGGTAAGGTGAGAGCTAGGGATCGAGCCCTGGGATCTGCATTCGCTACTGCTAACAGGTGAAAAAACGTTTCATAATTTATAATATAACTATTATTCCTGTTTTTTTTCCCCTTTTTTTAATCCCAAAAAATCCATCATTTGATTCATTTCTGAATGTGTGTCTCAATCTTAACATACGTAGGTAGTACAGACTGAACGACAGAAAAAGAACTCGCTGCTTGTAGACAGTGCATTGCCTTCCTGAAAGAGGAGGAAAGAATTGGGTCAATCCTTGAAGAGTAAGAGTGGTGCAGAAAAAAGGTGGTCTCACAGACTCACCAGTCAGTTCTGCACTTCCGCGTGCGGCCAAAATCGCTTCATTGCGTTCGAGAAGGGTCTGCACACGCCAGCTCCCACCAGACGCATAAAGACTGTTAAGTCAAAGCTTCGGTTAAAACTAAAAGAGTCGACAAGTACCACCCTTTTCACACCGTGAACTGTAACAAACAAGAAAATGCAGACACCACAACAGACAAGAGCTGCAAGAAATTCCAAAAGAACGCCTTGCCCCTACAGGGGTTGGGTTGGAATCCCAGCGCCAACGCAGTAAGGGCTCGGTGAAGAAACTGAGGCAAGCATTGGTGGCTGCTCCCCCAACAGCCCCCCCACCCTCCCCCCTTTCATTTCATTTTGAAGCACCCTCGGAACAGAATAGTCTTCGGCTGAGAACAGGGTCTGCATCTACATTCAAAGTGTGGGAACCATAACAGGTGGTCTGCAAAATAAGACAAACTTCCAAGTTTCGACCTAGGTTACCAGAGACACCAGGCCGAGCATCCGTGCAGCCTGCACTGGGTAGCCTGGGCAAATGAAAACTTTCTTTTTTTTCGTGGGGGGGGTGGTTGGTGAGGTGTTGCTGAGCCCTCTGAGATCTGCCCAGGAGAGAGATCGAGCTATGAAGAGGTCAACGGCCGGAGGGAGGAAGGAGCTGGCACGCATGAGAGAGGCAGGTGGCAGGAGGGAGGAGGGAGATGGAGCGATGGAGGAGAGAGAGAGATGGTTGCAGTAAGGAGAAGGGAGGAGGGAGGTAAATAGCGAGAGGGAGGAGGGAGAGATTGCACGGGGGAGGAGGCAGGTGGAGGGGGGAAGGAAGGAGGGACATTGAGCGAGTGAGGATTTAAGTAGATGGCAGGAAGGAGGAGGGAAATGGTATGGCTTGGATTATGCAGGACTGTAAAAAGTTTATAGTACTTTATACTACCATTGCAAGAATGTAAAATTGAACGGACAGCACATGGAATGGCATATGGTGTCTTACTTTTTCCAGATCCAGTGTGACACTCAATGCTTCAGCTGCAGCCTTCGAAACGTCTTTGAACTTCGTAGAAGCTTCTTCTGACGCGCCACGTATTATTGGCCATGCAACAGGCTGTACATCCATGCACACAGATGAGTACGCACAGGACAGCAAGAGTGACATCAGAATCTTTCCAAGAAGAAGAGCCCACACACACACACACACACACACACACACACACACACACACACAAGCCGCTTCCTTCCCCAATTTACGTGGGTTGCAGAAGGGTTAAATGTAAATGCTCATCATGAGCATCGAAATAGAAGACTGAAGGGCTGAACCTGATAAATGATGCAATCCACTACGTTTCCAAAACAGTCGTCATGCAAAGAGAAGCATTCGTCAGCCTTCACTTTGCCTCTGTTCAGGGAAGTTAGAGGTAAAAGGGAGGCCAGGAAGGATGGCAGCAACACAGAGAACAAGGAAGTCTCCAAAAGGGATGAAAAAGGGGTTAGCAGGAGGAAGGGACAGCTGGACAGACAAAGGATGAAAGAGGGCGGGAGGAGGGAAAAATCAGGAAGGAAGGACGGCCGCATGGGGAGAAGGAAAGCTAAGGGAGGGAGGAAGGGAGGAAGACGGTGGTAGTGGACAAGGCAGAAAGTAAAGAAGAAAGGAAGGAGGGAGGGAGGGGAGGAGGATGAAGGAAGGACAAAGGGAAGGAAAGACGGGAAAGGGGACGGGGAAGGGACCGAAGGGACGAGAAAGGATAGAAGGAAGCAAGGAAAGGAGAAGCAAGGGAGGGGGGCAAGGCCTGGAGGGAGGGGCAGGAAATGAGGGAAGGAAAAAAATGGGGAAGGAAGGGAAGAGACAAAAGAGAGAAAATGAGAATTGAGCAGAAAGCAAAGAGGAGAGGAGAGGAGAAGACAGCACAGGACAGGACAGGGGAGGGACGGGGGAAGGACAGAGAAGGGATGGGGAGGGACGGGAGCGAGGGGAGGGAGGGGAGGGAGGGGAGGGAGGGGAAGCGAAGAGAAGGGATGGAACAGGAGGGAGAAAGGGAGGGAAGGAGAAGAAAGATAAAAACCTGAGGAAGGCGGTTGCCTATTGAAAGCAATCGCTGACAAAGAATGCACAACTCCAATGCCTTGTCCCACAGCATCTGTAAACAATCAAAATTTGCAAACATAAAGGCAAGAGAGAAAGCAGGAGAGGCATCGCAAAGGAGAGGCCATGGAAACACAGAAAGGTAAAGGTCAGTGACAAGGGCAGAGAAGAGATGATAATCAAAAGGACAGAAAAGAAGGAACAACAGAACCAACATGGGCAAATATGGAAGCAAGCACATGTGGTCAGAACAAAAGTTTGGTTGAGTTTGTAGGCATCTTGCTTGCTACACACAAGCCATCTCAAGAACTGCTTCCCACTTCTAAATCAACAAAACGGTTTCGAATCGCTCTTTTATAGCAAAGGTCATCCGCTAACAGCGGCAAGTGCCCCAACCTTTCTGTTTTGCATTCCTCTCCTTTTTCCCATCCCTAAAAAAAAAAAAAAAAGAGGGCAACCGTCTTGAGATACCGTCATCAAACTGACCAGACCCAGGTAATTCGAAGTTATTCTAATTCATCAAATCCCATCAGGATTCAAACTCAAGTCTGTAAAACCACCAGTACCTTACCCACCCATTTTGTGCTGACGCAGCTGTTAATGCACCGCATCCTTCAGGGCCCGGCCTACTGGACCAAAATGGCTGGCTGCACCACGCCAGGCCAAGAAAAAGAAAAAACGAGCGAACACCAGTTTGTTCTTCATTGGCGCCCCGTAGAAATCCGCAAGAAAAAAAGAAAAAAAAACTGCAGTGGGAAAAGGAGGCCTGGAGTTACTGGTGGTTTAATCAAAACTTTGCGGGTGTACCATTCAGTCATCTGGGCCAGGTAACAAGTGCCCTCACCTAGTCATCGTGAACATGCACCCCAGAAAATTCCCAATGCCATCCTTCTGGAATCCAAGGCAAGACGGCTTTCACGGGCAACCAATACCTTATTTATTATGTATTTACTAGGCTACCAGAGTGGACTGGCGGG